CTCAGGACCCCCTATCCTGTGTGTTGGTCCGTTTTTGGAACAGCAGAGCGACCGTTGCAGTGGAGACATCCAAACTGTTGCCAATTGCTGCGTATTTTCAACTCTGAAGGTACTTTGCACTTTCTGAAACCTCCACATGGTTTGATGTTAAGATTCACACTGGAACCATATGTCATTAAAATGAGCAACACAAGAAGTGGGCTGTGTTGTTGTAGCGACTCCGGGTATCAGAGCATGATTTTGCTACGACTGCAGACTTGCTCTGCGCGGGTCCATTCGCCAACGTATAACTGATTTCGAAAACTTTCGCATTTGTGATTCTTTTTTTTCATTTCTTGTCTTTGTAACAAAAACCACCACAAAGTGACTTCGTGTGGCAAACAATGTTATTAAAATAAGCAACATAAGTGGGCTCTGGAAGATGTATCCCGGTTCATGAATGAAACACACATAGTTTGTTTTGACCAGCTGGCCGCTCCATGTTGTTTGTGTGTGCTCTCGATAATGTTGAAAATTCCTTACAATGATTGCGTGTAGAAATGGGACAGACAGTGCTGTATCGTGGTTAACCCCACGTTCCTGTGGCTGCAAATTGGCCAACTGCGAGATGAATTTGTGGGTTGAGTTTGGCTACCGCCGGTGGTGTTTTGGTGGCAGAACCTTTTTGTACTGGACCCAACAAGTGCAAATCGTATTTCGGGTTTTTACGTTCTTTGTGCATTGCTCCTTTCAGGGTGAAGCTGTTCTGTCTGTCATTATCGCAAAAGCAGCTAGAATNNGCGTTTGACATTGTGTGTTGGGTTTACGGACAAGGGTCCGCATTGGAAAACTTGCAGCACTTGCTTTCCAAAAAAGGGTGGGGCGGCGGAGCAAGGACCCAGGCAAGGAATCCATCATCATGCCCTTCCCCGTGCAGCACAGAATCAAGCCCGCTTCAGTTCATAATGGTGGAACATAATTGTTGCGTGAAACTTTGGATTCGTAGGATGGAAAAATTCGGTTGTGTCTGAAGAACTTGATGAACGGCCATGGAAGGATGCATCAAATGTACTCAACTTGGAATCTGGCGGGATTTTTGTTGTTTCCTGCTCTGCAGCGTAATGGCTGTTGTTGATGGTTAGCCAACAGTGCAGCCCAGCTAGCAGCTAGCATGCATGTGTGCTTTCATTTGTATCGTCTCTGATGATAAGATCACGGATCGGAAGGGGTTGTCAGCAAACAAGCTCTCGGAGTGTTTCAGTTGACACGTACACATATGACTCGCAAACATGTTGCAGTGGACAGGGACAAAGAGGCATGACGGGGGAGGTTTCGTGCGGCAATTGGAGAGAGGTGTGTTCACTGTGCTTGACGCGACAGGTGTGCCCCGAAACTGAGGCTTGGTCTTCTCAGCCTGTCCCACAGCTCGCATAAGGCATCTTCATGTCTCGGCGCTCGTGTGTGCAGAAAGTGCAGCGTGCAGTGTGTACATCATTAGGCCTGCAGGCCGGGCTGCTAACTGCCTGAGGTGGCTTTGCACATTTTCGGTCTTGATGTTTGCCATCGCCTTCGCCCTCTCGGGGCAGATGTTTCCGAGGCATGCGACTTCAGCAGAAACTTTAGGACTGTATTGCAGTGTCGATAGCGGTTATTGTTGACCATGTAACGTGTCAGCCGAAGGTTTGTGCCCAGCCAGTGCACTTCGGAGAAAGGCATGTGTACGCCGGGAACTCGTCACTCCCGGGTTCGTTTGACCATGATCAGCAATCACTAGCGGGTCGTGGCAAAAGCCCATCTGATCCGTCTTTTGGACGGGTCCATTTGCAGAATTATAATGAATTGTACAGGATTGTACTGACTTCCTTGCCTATGATGCAGAATTTCGGCAACAAGCGTTTGAGGACTACAACTTACATGTGACACAAGGTGCAGCAGAGGCAGGCCTGACACCATCGCAGTACGCATGAACAGCTTCGGTACACAGGGTGGTGTGTTTGTTTAACCGACGAGGCCATGTCGATTCCTACCGTGGGTGATGTTCAGCGGCAGATGCCAAAACCAGATCAGATGAAAAATGTGGTCAAGTACAAAGGGCCAAACAGCAACCAGGCAGTTTTGAAGCAAGCGGCAACGAACTCCGAGCTACAGAAAGCAGTCGAGGCAGGAGATGCAGAGATGATGAAGGCAATTCTCCGGTACGGCTCAGCCAAGCGTTGTGTGAACGTCAATGCCCCTCTTTGGCCAAAGAGAGAACGCATGCTGCATTTGGCTGCGCAGAAAGGATTCCGAGATGTTGGCGTTCTTCTGCTAGAGGCGAAAGCAGAGATCGATGCCGAAGAAATCTGTGATGGTAAGCATCCCATTCACGAAGCTTGCAAGCACGGGCACTATGACGTTTGCGAACTGCTTCTGGACCGTAAGGCTCACATTGAAGAAGCCACATTCACGGGAATGCGACCTTTGCATTGGGCTGCAGCGGAGGGTCATGCTGAGATTTGCGACATGTTGCTGGATAGGAAGGCTGTTCTTTATGCCACATCTGGAGATACCCGGGAAGCCATACACCATGCAGCTGCCAATGGTCATGCTGATGTCATCGAAACCTTGTGCAGGCGGGGTGCCAGGCCTGATGTCGAAGCCGGTGGTCACCGACCTTTACACCTTGCCTGCCTAAACGGGCAGTGTGGTCATTTGGCAGCGGTGAAAGCATTGCTGGATTACGGTGCGTTGAGCTCACTTGAGGACTTCGGTTCTAACGGAACCTTGAGACGCTGCCAGGGCACTGACATAGAGGCTTTGGTTCGCCGCATCGGGCAGCTCAACCTTCAGATAGATGAAGCTGAAGAGATGGACGACATGGGACAGCATGAAGAAGCGAGGGAAGCTTACACTGAGGTGTTGACAAGTTTTGACGAACTTGGCATGATCCGATCGGCCGAATCTCTGCGAAGCAGCATGAAGCTTGCAATTCCGTAAGTTCCACAACAGGAGTTGTGGATAAAGACAGTTGTGCTCTGTGCAACGGCTTGTACAGCATTGTGCATTGCGCCGCACGTTCACTTTCAGGAACCTGGAAAAGAAGTGTGTTAAATTAAATGAAGCGGTTACACATCCTGTAAGCATCTTGGGTCTTACGAGCAGCATGCACACAACATATTTTGTGCTTTCCTGAGGCCTGGGGCTTGCACGTGTCCTTTCCCTCTGATGAAGCTGGACCTAGTGACGCAGGAAAGCATCCGCTTGCCTCATAATCTTTCGCAAGATGCACCGAGTGATCCGCCTTCAGGATGGATTGGCTTGCGCCCAGTGTGTGGAGGAGTTCTGCCCGGTGTTTGCCTGAGCATAACACGTGAAGCAAAACCCCCAACCCCCGCGCCCACCCTCATGCACACATGCACATGCACAGAAGCAAATGCGCACACACACAGAGATAAGATACATATATATATATATATACATACATGGATACGTAAGTATATGCACACCCCCACTTGCGCGCGCACGCGCACGCGCACGCGCATGCGCACACGCACACGCACGCCCACGTGCGCGCGCACACACAAACGCACGCGCACACACACACACACACACACACACATCTACAGACACACACACACACACACTTACAAAACGCTTACACACACACACACACACGAGTGAGTCAGTCACTCACTCACTTTCTCACTTTCTCTTTCACTCTCTCCCTCTCTCTCACTCACTCTCTCACTTTCACTTTCTGTCGCTCACCTTCTGGTTTTCGCTCTCACTTTTTCTTTGTCTTTATCATTTTCACTTTTTTGTTCTTTCTTTCTCTCGCTCTCAGTTACACACACACACACACACGAGAGTTCGAGCCACGTGTTTGCCAAGGCAGTCTCCGGAGATGCTTCCACTTGCTCGGAATCTGCCGGCCGTCCTGGTGTTCTACATCCGGCTGCATTCTTCGCATGGGGATGATCACTTTCCGAGGCCTGTGAGTGTGAAGATCCTTCCTGGCCTAGGCACGTTTGTATCGATCCCAGATAATCTTCACAAAACCAACTCCAGTACAGGATAGATGTCGGATCAGAGAGACCATGTTGGCAGTGTGTTGGCGTCTCAGACGTGAGCATCTTTGCATTGAGTTGTTTCGTTACTGCCTTCTACCGTGTTTGTTGGGTCGTCCAAGGTTCGCCCGCATGTAGACATGACCCTCCGGTCAGCAGGTCGGCTTCCAGTTGCGTAGATTCTGGGGGACCCCTTGCCCCGGCACTGAGGTGCAGATGAGACCTGTCTTCACATAGTTGAGGATGCCGATGGTCGTGAACTCGGTTTGTTTGTTTGTTTGTTTATTGCACAGCATTGCAATCAGAGTGCACCTCTCCGATGCAAGATGCAGCACTTTGCTCCAATGTTTGTCCTGCACGCGGATTCTCGAATCCCTGGACCAGGTATGCAGCTTGCAAGCTCGAATTCAAGTTCTTGTGAGCGTCTTAACATAGTTCTTCATATCGAAGCTTTTAGAATGCTGGCCCATGGAAGGTACAGTCTTTCGCTTCAACGGCGCATCAATCTTGGCCAAGGCATACAACAGTTGCACGGAGCTTGGAGCAGCGAGACGGGTTTCTTGCGCTTCGTAAAGGCTGTGATGGAAGTGATGAGCCCAGGCCTTTCGTGGGCAGACACCTGGAAGCTGGTGCCTTGCAGGGACCTCAGACCCCAAACCAAAGCGCGAGTTGCCACGCTTTCGCCTCTTCACCTGTGGGCCGCTTGGTGATTTCAGGTGCGTCCAAATCCCTCAAGTTTGCGCAGAGAGCGCTGCCGAAGGAGGAGGCGCCTGCGAGTTGTGTTTCGGCGAAGGCGGCTGCAAGCATAAATTCCCTCAGCCGTTGCACATACAATGGTGTATGTATGTCTGCAATAATATGCAATAATGTAGAATTCCACATGCATACGTACATACATACTTGCTTACGTACTCATTTACTTACGTACTGCTTTACTTACTTACATACTTGCTTGTCTAAAGTTACATGTGTTCACCACAAACACATATAGGTATACGTACACATACACAGAAACATATACAGATACTAATGCACATACATCTACATCTTTATCTACATCTACATATATATATATACACATAACCATACATATACACATACATATACATACACATACACATACACATACACATACATATACAAACATATACACGTACACATACACGTACACACATATATATATATATATGCGTATATGTACATATGCATACATACATACATACATACATACATACATACATACATACATACATACATACATACGTACATACTCTTTCCATTTGCGAGCGGTAGAGTTTCCTGACGTATCTTCTGAGTTGTCAGCCTCGTCGCCGTCTGAGCTGGAGCTGTCATGCAAGTTGCCATGTCCTGCATCTGCTTCCTCCTCCGGATAGTCTGGCACAAAGCCAACCTTGAGAACCTGGCCTTGGACAAAGCGAAAAACCGGCCCTGCAGGTCTATTCTCAATGGGAGCCCTTCGACAGTAACAATGTACCCAGGGGGTCTGCGATGTTCGCAAGCCCTCAAGAGCTCCTGAACCGAAACCATGTCGCTCGGTAGGAGCTTCCAGTCAAAGGGCAGAAGGATGGCCAGCAAATCAAGTAAAAGGATCCACTGTGAGGGCCTAATCCTGGCAGGGGGCACTGGAAGGCGGAAGACAGCCTGTGTGGCGACCGCTACTGTACACACATGGTAACCACGCACGGCAACATCAGACACCCGAGAATCCTTGGTTGGAAGCTTTGCACAGGTGCTCATTCTTTCCTAGTGGCACATGTCTTGCGGATGGGCCAAAATGCCGCCGTCTTTCTTGAAGACAGCATCGTGCTTACCTTTGTTTACGGCTACCCCATTCAACAAGGCCCACACACCCCGGGGGACACTTACCCCGATGTTCCAGATTGTGCCGCGAAACATGTGGGCAACGAGAGTGGCAATCAAATTCAGGAAGCTCAGGGGTGCTTGGAAATTTATTGACAAGATGCCGGTTCTCGTCATTTATATTGCTTTTTCTTTCTGGCCTGCCTCTCGATCCAATGCCAGCCCTGTTTGCTTTGCGTATTGGTTGATGTTCTTGTCCACATGATGATACGAAGTCTTCCTCCTTGCTGTCATCCGCCTTCAATGCGGCTGGTGCTGATGGGCTCGCAGCACAAGGTGTTTAGGCACGATCCGAGCCGCTGAAAGCCTTGCACCAGTCTTGACGTTTCTGCGACCAACTGTTAATCCATTTTGGGCAAACCTCAACTCCACAACAAAATAGCTAGACAGTTCCATTCCGGAGTCTCCTGCTTGGGATAAACCGCTGAAGGTGCAGGTGCAGGTATTGTCATAGCCCGTTCATCTGCCTGGAAAAGTTGCGAAGTCCACTCGTGCATAAAGTGCCGGATTCAGACAGACAGTCGTTTTGCATCGTCATGCTCCTTCAAGTCTGAAGGACATTTATTGCGCTGGGAAGCGGAAGCAACTTTGCGTGCAAGCCGTCGAGTGCGCAACCATGTGATGTCAGTTTGCTGCGAGCATTGCAGACTTGGACAGGTACATGTGCACGACTGACCCGGGTCAGTGTAGCATGGGCGATTGCCGCTGTGAGGATGCATCCCACGTCCGTAAGGTGTGGCGATGTACTGTTGACCTTGCGTTGCGGATGTTATTTTCCTGTCTAGCTGAACAGGAAATGCAGACCGTCAACAGATCTCTGTGCCAAGTGCTGCAAACTTAGATCGCCTTGAATACGAGCCTGTTTTGCAACGTTGTGAGAGTTTATGCCCCAAGGTGTGGACCTCCAGTGCCGAATTGCCCCATGCGCGAGACTTGCGACCTTCAGTCCTGCAGCCACAACTGCAACAAATCAAAAGCCTTAGCACCAGGTCTTCCGACTCGTGTGTCGCCGGCCCGTGCGAGTGCCCCGGAGGTTTCGTCAAGGCATGACGCACCTCTACCAGATAGTGTTTGCCACAGTCGTCTGTTGCAGGTCAGCCGTGGTGACGATTGCTTTAGCAGCATCCTCATGCTACGGTTTCCCAAGACCTGTTCAAAATTGTTTAGGCGTTGGGAAGAAAGCTAAACACCTGAGGCTGCACCGCAGGACCAGCGCCTCCAACAGGACCAGGCCAGGACGTGGGCGTGTGCACTTGCACTCTTCATGTCGGGTGGTCGGGTGCAGCTATGGCCATGGCCGGCATGGCCTCAGCGGCGAAAGGAGTTGCAACTTTTTCATCCTTGGCCTCAGCAATCGTTTCGTCATCACCCCAGCCGCAGCATGCTCTGCTAAGCTAAAACTGGATGTAGGTCCGATGCAGATGTTGCGCACGTGCAGGTTCCTTTGTTGCGTTGGCCTGGGAGTTGCTGTTGCCTGTGCGGCACGTCGATGTTTCGTGTGGCCCTTAGGTTCCTAGCTGCTGCGCTGCTACACAACAGACCTTTGCAGCGCTGCTCAGAGTTCTACACGCAAGCTTCCATGTCAGTCGAAGGTGGTCGAAGATGCAGACAACACGGCTCGAACTCGCCGTCGACGTCGAAATGTCACGCCAAGGCCAGGTCTTTTTGCGCACCGTTCTCCCGGGAGCCGGGTTAGGCCGGCAGGGCCGGCAGGGGTGACGGCTAACGGGCCTTGGTGTCGGTGGCAACATAGGTGCAGTAAAGCTGACAGAATTCACTTTGCGGGTTTGTTGAAAGTCCACCACTGCCAATGTCTTCCGACGCTCACCACGCCCGGAAACGTTGAACTGCCGTCTTTCGATGATCTCCCCATGTACACGACTTGAATAGGTGCAGGTATGTGCAGGTGGCGTCAAGTTGTTTCCGTCGTACCAAGTTGTTTTCCTGGTGTCTCAGCATGGAGACAGTGACACGATCTTCTTAGCTAACACCGCGTGTGCATCCGAAAATGGAACAGTGTGCGACTCGAAATCACACCTGCTCGGACTAGTAAGCAATCATGTGTAGGTTTTGGTGTGAACTGCTATGAAGCAGTTGTCCTTCAACCACCTTCGAAAGAAAGGAACCCAACACAGGACTGGGAGGGGTTTGTCAAAGACTTCGAAGACGTTTTTTTGCACATGTATTCCCTGCGCACCAAGGACATGGTCTGAACGATGGGCACTTCATTTGGAAGAAGCTCTAGAGGCAGAATGATGCAGAACACGCAGTTCATGTTGTGAGTGGTGCGGTGCCGACGTGGAAGTTCCAGGCTGTTTGCAAGAGCACTCGGTCTTGGAGGTTGGAGCATGGCTTGTCACGTCACATCGCTTGACAGTGCGAAATCTCCGCTGTGTTCCCTTGTCATGCTTTCAGGCCCTTCCGATCCGCTACCGCTGCAGTGCTCATATCTCAGTGTCTAATTTTATGCAAGTTATCATGCGGCACTTGTGACGGTGGCAACGCACCAAGGATTAATTTCTTTGACATGTGCGATGATGCGTTATTTCCTGTTTACGAACTGTTGGAGACTGGCTTGGCCGCACCGGCTGCTTTGTCTCTTCGGATGTGCCGTGCAATTCACGTATGAATGGGGTCCGAGCCACAGGCCACCCTCCTGCGCCAGGACTCATTGCAGCGTGGTGCCGCAACCATCGCCAAGGCAGCCGTGGGCACCGCAAGAGAGGAACATTTCTCCCTGATAGGATCTGTGCTGGATGCCCTCGGGCCGGTCACAAGCACTTGATTTTTGTTCAACATGAAAGGATTTGATTTGGTGGCATCTGCGCGATCCATATTCATACGTTTTCGGATTGTCTGAGTCACGCACGGCGGGCTCACAGAGAGCTTTAACAATTTCCGTGCACAACTTCTTGGCAACCAAGCAGAATAATTAGGGGAAACTTGCAGCGGAAAGCAGAGCATGCTGTGAGCAAGAAGCTTTCCAAAGCACTGAGCGCAGTACGTTTGGAATGGAAATCCGCAAGATCGGTGCAGCGCAGCAGAGTAGGAGCTTGACTCTCCGAGTGCATTCCATTGTGCACACTTGCCGACTGGGTAGCACCTTTGCGAAGACGGCTTGCAGCCAGCCTGAGTTAGAGCAAGTGCTTGTTGATCTGGCCACTATCTCTGAGCGGCACTGTGACAGGAATATTGCGGGCTGTCTGCGGCCAAGACACGGATTGACATTCATACATCAGATTGTGCTTTTGGAATCTGGTAGCCCACCGTGCAATACAGACCCTAATTTTCGGCTGCACGTCGACTTGTCTTTGATGCATCGTGGGGACTTGTACCTACTCGCTCACTGCGTTCGGCTTTCCTTGACAGCTGTGGTGGTACCATTGTCACTGAGCAACTTTCTTCTTTCATTGCACAACACGCATTGGTCCAGTCACTTGGTAACTTGGTTTCGCACCTGCAGGGTGTAAGCTTTCGGTTTCACGGTTTAGGATGGTTTAGTGTTTGAGGGGCTCAGGGTTTGGGCACAGGGTTTACGACGTTTATAGTTGCCTTGCACATCCAAGTGTTGCGTGGCTTCTTTAAGCAAAGCGGGCGAGCACGTGATTGTAGGCCATATTCCGGGTGTGTTTTTAAGTACTATTTTTGTTTGAGTAAATCCCTTCTATGGTCTAAGGCGGTGTGGACAAGGTGTGCTTGAAAAGCGGGTAGAATCCATTCTGTTACTTGTTCAAGCCAATATCTCTGGGGATGTCCTGTATGAGCAGAGTCAGTGAGCTGAATACGGTCCTTATAGCCTGGTGAAAAGACTGCATTATGGACTGGGTCGCTGGGTGTAACTAAGATTTTGCAAAGTTGTGAAAGTTCTAGTTGTAATAAGATCTGGGAGGGCAGGGTAGGCTGGCCGCGAATATCCTTCCCTACAATGGCTAATGTGTGAGTAATACGAGGCTTGGACTCCTATGCATCGCTTCACAAATTCACAGAGCAGGGCAGGGACAATCGTGCAATGAGTATTTTGACTTTAGTGCGTGTGTGAGGCCTTCTGCGCCGGAGTTGTCGTCTGCTTGTGCTTTAGTTATGCGGTCCTCGATAGTCGTTGCAGTTGGACTATCCCAAGAGTTAAGAGACTTGGGTGCCTAGATATTTTGATGACTCTGCTGGGGGAACAAGATCCCCCAGGTTTGGAGTTTCGGGTGTGCGGCTTTTAGAGTCGTCAGCCTTGGCCTGTCTATGCGTGGTTGGGGCTGGATCGAACGTAGACGCGTCACAGCGACGCCTCCTCTCACCCTCGCCTCCAGGGCCTCTGGCCCCTGACCGTCATTCTTGGGATGAGGGCGTCCGGGAAAGGACTCATGATGCTGCTTCTCAGTGTGCTCTTGCGCCCTGCTGGGGCCGGTGTACTTCGCCAACCTCAAACCCAACAAGGGGATGATCCCCATGTAGCTGCCGGCTGTGGTGCCCGTTTACGGGGTCGCACAGAGTCCTGGCCAAGCATCCTGGACGAGGATGGGGGTCTCTCTTTGCTGACCTTGTGAAGGCGAGGGTTACACTCGACATGGATACAGCTCGTCCCAGAGACAGGAAGCTTCTCTCAGGAGAAGGAACCTGC